CCATCAATATATCCAGATCCAGATAAATTTGATCCTGAACGATTTAACGCAGACAAAGTAGCAGAAAGGCATCCTTATGCTTATTTGCCATTCGGGGAAGGCCCACGAAGCTGCATTGGTAGAGATTGAATTAGGCCATTTATACATTTATACAGAATGTCATAAGACTTGACGATAAAACTGCGGAAATATATTCTACAAGCGGAAATAAGAAAAAAATGTTACATGAATTTATTATTTGATCATAAATGTTTTGTTGCAAAATTATACACATGATCCAATTCATATTAAATCGTATAAAGGTAGTAAATATTATGTAGAAATAATATACAAAAATTAAACACGTTTCCATACACGAAATATACATTTTCAAATTCTGCGTCATGGAAAATGCATTGTATCTACTCCATGCTCCGTTTTAATTTTTATACATATATAACCTTATAAATTATTTACAACTATATTTTATATGTCTTATAATACTTTTTTCTTAATTTCACTTGTAGAATATGCTCTCCGTTTGACCGTTAGATCCTGAGACACTTTGTATTAACCTATTGTTTAAACTATTTTAATTGTCATTTATTTTTAGTATTTTTTATAATTACACTTATTGTTAGATTATCATTTACGTTTTTGATACACTTCAAAACCTTTTTTAATTAGACATACAAAAATATATTCTGTTTATAGCAATAAATATATATTATCTGTTAATTAATTAATATGATAATAATAATAATATTAATAAAAAAAGTGCAGACATTTTCAAAATACTTCCTTCGGATTATTATTATTGTAACAATTGCTCCTATAACTGTTACAACAATTGCATAAATGTTTTATAAAGAAATTTTTGAAAAAGGAAGTATTTTATTTAACGAATTACATTTAATTTTGAAGTGTTATTTTAAGCATCATTTCTCTCTCTCTTTCTCTCTCTTTTTCTCTCTCTTTTTCTTTCTCTCTTATTTTCTTTTCCTCTCTACAATATTTTATAATTAGTAAGTTGTTAATTTTGTATTGCATAATTTTTTTTGTTTTAATATGAAAAATATTCTTAAAATTTTATTTAAGTCAAGCATCAGAATAAGTTATTATAAAGTTCTATTTAAGTACAGAATAAGTTATTATAAAATTGTTTTATAAGTATCTTATTCATTATAATCATTAATTTTCAGGTACGCGATTCGGCTACATGCAAACAAAGGTTGGACTCGTGAGTCTTCTGTCGAAATACTGTTTCAAACTCCACTTCAAAACTCAGATCCCACTTGTTTTGGACAAAAGATCTCCTATTCTTTCGGCAAAAGATGGTGTACACTTTATTATCGAATCACGACGAAATAAATCGCGCTCTTATGTGAACTAAAAATATTATATTCTTGATGAATTCTAAATTTATTACATATGTTATTATGTATTATTATTAATAATTTTTGTGAAATAAGAATATCATATTAGATTATATTAATATGTATATGTATAAAACTTAATTTTAATTTCAATTTACTGCATCACGGTTTAATATGGAAATCAAACAACATGAATAAATTACATATGGAATTATTAAAACTATATAACTAAACTATATAAAAACTATATAAATAAATGATAATGTATAGACTTATTAATTTTCATTAAACGCAAATTTTCAACCTTATACGCAATATTTCTCGTGTAATTATCGAATCTACATTTCTAATTTTTTTTTTTTAAACTAGGAGTTGTAACTACTTTTTTGTGTTCAACTAACAACTCAGAATTAACAAAAAAAAATGGATTGGCTAGTCTAAAATAAGTTTAATAAAAATGAAATCCGACAGATAAGATGCTAGTAGAAAAATTTTAAATTGACGTCAATTTTATGACGATGATATTTTTTATAAACAATATTTTTCTGCTTTTTCTTCTTCCACATCTTTCTGAGGCTTTTAAATCTCTATAATTTCCTTAAATTTCTGTTTATTTCTTAATAATCTATCTTCCTCTCAATATTACATTATTTCAAATGCATCTTATAAGTTATTGATTTGTAGGTAATACGATACATTACTGAGAGTTTATCTCTCTAAGGTTCACAAACCAACACAAACTGCCCTTTTGGAATCCTAATTTCATCTGTTGACAGTTCACTTTACACACTCACTTGTTACATTTTTACATAAAATAATATATCTAAAAGAGCATATATTCTAGAAAGCTCATGTAAATAATTATTTGAATTTACGTCGCCTGAAAAACCGCATTAGACTGTTTATACTTACAATTAGCATTGTTGCGATGAATGTTATCACATGCCTCGGTAGTCTAAAGGGTGTCCGGCAAACTGGGAGATCCGGGTTCGACTCCCGGCTGGGAACATGAAGTGATATTTTTTCGCAATAATTTTCCTTCACATATTCGGGGAAAAGGAGACCGTATATATAGATGCGTGTTAAATTGCTAGTCAATTTAATTGTTACGAGTAAATTCCGGCCTCATGTAATAAACTATGTTTCAAGTCCAACGATTATGCAGCACGCAGTTCGCGTGTGGCTGAAAATTATAAATATTATGAATTATAATTATAAAATTATAAATATTGTGAAAAACTATTACACACCGACATCCGTGTTAGCTCTCATAGTAAGTTAACCTTTATTGTAATATATTTGATTTATTCTAGAGAACTTATGTAAATAATTATAATGTATAATTTACGCATAACGCGTTGATTTTTAATAGCCCTTATTATTATTTTTTGTTTTTTTAATTACTTTTCTTTTTTGTTACTTCTATTACATTAATAAAAATTTTAATTTATATTAATGCTTTTACTTAAACTTATATAAAGTATTTTAAAATAATAACTCCCTCCTCCTATGTGTTTATATAGGCTTAAAATACTAAGCTTTAATAATATATATTTATAATAATTTATAATAATTAATAATATATATAATAATAAGCATACATTTATTGTAAATAAATGCAATTTTATTCGTACAATTAAGGGAAAACACCACTGTGATGAGTTTTAAAAATCAATTTTTTTTCATTTTTATAATGTTTGAGGTCTTAAAAATATGTCTCTAAAATTTTATGTTGAAATTCACAATGGAACTATAGTAAATATGTAATAAAATAGCACGTGTTCAGATATATACACCCGGCCGCGTAAAACACGTTTTTCTTGAAATCACATTTTAGCTGGGCGTAGCTGGGCGATCGGCCAATTTTTATTCGAATGATTTTGGACAGAATGTTTACAACAAAATTGTCTTCAGTTAAGCGTACGATTTTTTCAATCGGATAATTATTTTTTAAAAAATAATTTAAAAAAGTAATGATTTTTTTCGCAAAATAGCAAACTATTTTTTTGAAAAAGTGCCATTTTGTTAAAAATTATTTTTTCAAAAAATCCGTACGCTTAACTAAAGCTACACTTACATACTTTCAAATGAAAAACAAATTTTTGATTTTAGACATACCATTCAGACGCATCACGGGCGCCCGTGCATCCATGTTTTTTCCAATAGAAGTTTACGTCATCGAAGGCGAAAGCCATAAATATTAACATTAATTTATGATTTTTTTTATAAAATCTTAAATATATGTATTTTTAATATATAAAGATACTAATTTATACAACTTATTAATTATCGCAAAAAAAATTCACGAAAATAACTTTTTTTTCCGGTCGTCGCGGTGGTGTTCCCCTTTAAGGGTGAAGCAAAACCATCATTATTACCTTTTTATAAGCTTGCAAAACAGTAAAATTACCGATAAATTCTTAAGATAGTACACACGCGACAATACCATCCAAAAGTTAGG